CCCCAAAACCCCAAAACCCCAAAACCCCAAAACCCCGAATATTCGATATTTTTATAAAATTTGTAAAGTTTAAACATGATTGAGTGAAGACATATTTTGAGGTATGAGAAGAAAGATGTTGAGAAAATGAAATTGTTGACACAGAAGATTCCGTGAGATGTAAGTTTTTGTGTTTATTAGTCATCTGAAGGGAATTTTAAGCGATTTTGAGAAATTTATAAGTGGTTTTAGTCCAGAAGACAGAAATGCTGTTATCGAAGGAATTTATTTATGGAATGCATAACTTTAGTTATTTGATAGATATTCCGTCACAAATTGTTAGCTCCAAAGCCAAAATTAAGGTTCCAACAAACTTTCTTCTTAACATTTTCAAATATTGGATGCAAATCTCATAAATGCTAATATTGTGCATCTCAAAGGCATAATGAGGCTATTCTGTTATTCATCGTGGAAATTTTCCAGAAATTGTTTGAACGAAGGATTTTTGGTTTAATATATTGTCTAGGATTGCATGCCTTCGCAAGCTAGAAGCTCAAAGGCTTCCAAAGATATTTGGATTTGCCTCAGATGAGCCAACATTGGATGTGGAAGGAGAGCTAAAGGGCATGCTCTTGACCATTACGATTCAACTCATCATAAGCTCTCAATAAATGCCCAAACAATGGCACTGTGGTGATATAAGTGAGATTTTGATTTGATTGAAGAAGGAATCCAAGTCTCTAAGGATGGCCCTCTTTCTCCAGGTAGCGAAGCTTATAAAGAGCATGTTGAGGATATGCATGATTATCTTTGCGAACTCATCACTACAAAGTGACATAAAGGGAATGAGTCACAGGAGGGTAAGACAACTGTTGGCTCAGCTGGATTTCTTTCAAATGCGACAAAAGAGAATCGAGCTTCTTCATACCGTAACTGTACCTCAAATAAAATCTTTAGATAATGTTAAAGTAGATCAGATCGATGAGCAGCAAGTGAATGGTGAATATACTGCTGTTGAAGCACATAGCAAGGAAGCTTCTCTTGCTGATGATATTTCCTCAGAAAGTTCAGGGTCGCACTCTTACCTCTCACCAATAATCATGAGGTTAAGATCAGAGCATGATATGAACAAATAAAGTAGATGAACTTTTGTTTTCAGGAAGAGGTCTTAGAAATCTTGGAAATACTTGCTTCTTTAACTCAATAATTCAGTGCCTGACAGCTACAAGGGATCTGTTCTTTTTATTGTACGAAGATCATTTGAAACAAACAGGCAGAGGCTTTGTGTTCAACGAGGAATTCAGGGACTTAATGATAGACATGAGAGAATCGAAAAGCGATGTAGTGTCTCCTGTAGAACTCTTTCGAGCAATAGTGAGGAAAAACTCCAGATTCAGAGGATACCAACAACAAGATGCTCATGATTTGCTAATGATGCTTTTGGAAAACTTAGATAAGGAAGCATATAAGAAGAAAAAGAAGCCTCTGATGGAGCATACATTTGGAGGAAAAATGTTGACATGAGGCAAGTTCTATCTTAATAATCTATAGTTCTCTGACTGACTTGAAATCAAGTGTCAAGGACAATTTCACCTTACAACAACATAATGCTTGAAATCTCATTTCGACAATCCAATAACGAGAAGTTGAAAAACAAATATTTGCAGGAAAATAGAGTCCAGTCAGTTAGAGGAGGAAAGGACTACAAACTTTCTGACGAAGCCAAGAAATATCTTAAAGGAAAAGGAACTACAGATAAATCAGTCGGCTTCTTCAAGAGACTCTTCTGGTGCTGTGGTAAGAGGACCAGAGGAAGCAAAAGCCGTGAAAGAGACATCAAGAAAGCTAAGAAAAAGAAAAAGATCTCTACTTGTAAATCTCCTATTTATTGTATAGTCGATGAGGAAGAGAAAACCACTAAGAAAAAGAAGAAGGAAAGAAATTCTTCTGAAGATGATGAGAGTGAAAACAAAGAAGGCGGAAGTACCAAACCAAACTCAGGAGATAAGGAGCATAAAGATCCTGATATGGATATTGAGGATCAGAAGTCAAGTACAAAGATTCCTGTTGAGAAGATTAAGGAGAGTATGGCTGAAATGGTAAAGGAGGCTGAATCTCAGGAAACAAATCCACTCGATTATCGGTTCAGAAAGATCATAAACCTTAGCAAAGCTGATAAGAAGACTAAAGATGAAAATAAAAGCGAGGACGAAGAAAATAGCCAAAATGATAGAGAAAGTGAAAGTGGGGCTAGTCAAAGTGAGAACAAAGACATAAGTGAAGAAGGAAACAGCCCTTCAAAACCTAAAGTAATACTTTGTTGTTGGGTTATATTGTTCAATAGGTTAACAATTTTGTTCAGAATTCTACAATACAGAATACTCGGACTAAGGATGCAAAGATCAAAGAAAAATCGACTATTCATTTTGAGCCTACTTTTTGGCCTTCTAAATCAGTAAGATTGCTTCTCACAACTCTAGCAACGATATTTCACTCTTGAAGAGTGTCTTGACTACTACACGGAGTTAGAGCTCCTAAATGACAGGAAGAACCTGTACCAATGAGAGAATTGCACTCTTTTAAAATATGGAAAAAGTAAGAATTCCAATTAATTTCAGAATCTAAGAGGAAGTTTGAGTCTCCAGCGATTAAGAGGAGTATGATTCTTGAATTACCTTGCAACCTGATTATCAATCTCAAGAGGTTTACTCACGGATTCATGTCTTTCCAGAAATCAAGGAAGACTGTTCTATATCCTCTGTTTTTGAAGATGGATAAGTACACAATAGAGGAATGTAGGAATATTTCATAAAATTTAGGTGATAAGGATGATGAGGAAAGGTACACAAAGTATTCAAATACTACAATAAAAGAACCGTGGAAGCACAAACATATCTATGAGCTCTATGGGATAGTCACTCATAGCGGTAGTATGTCAGGGGGGCACTATATAGCATTTGTCTGATACAAGTAAGGTTTTATTATAACATCCCTAGACTTGGCAAGGATAGAAATTGGTTCTACTGAAGTGATAGTTCCGTCAGAAAAGTCTCAGAAAAGGTAGCTTTGGATGCAGAGGCATACATTCTTTTCTACAGGAGAGTGACCTAATTAACTTCCCTCGTCACCAAATTTTCATAAAACTTAGGAAATGAACTAAATTAACCTTTCTTTCTTAATTCTCCATTTTAATAGCTGAATTTAAGTAAATTTGTTGGGGTTTTGGGGTTTTGGGGTTTTGGGGTTTTGGGG